TTCCCAGCAACTTCCAAAGGAGGGAAACCCGGCATATGCAAGGACCTGAAAACACTGAGCTAGGAGCATGTGGATGTTCCTTAGCTACCCAGGTAGCTCCAAAGTTGCCTCTGGATGATAATTCAGGCTATTCTTGCTCTTTTGTTCGGATGTCGCGTTTTCAATTTATTAGCCCTCGCAACGTCCACTGCCCCATATTTAGTCAATGCAGCGCAGTTAGATTTTCATTCCTGAATCAGTTTTGCTCGATTGCTTTCATTGCGGCGACGGATAGAGTCAAGTTGCATGTAACTCAAACCCCTCAACAAATAGAGCCTCTCAGGACCTTCACGGTCATGTCCAAATCCATGAATTCAGCCTACAATTGTGTACATGTACTGTACCATGGCAATATGTACTCTGAAAGCCGTAGATACGCGCCGGAACGGTCGTTTAATTATCTTGCAGCCATAGGAACTGGAACAGGGAGGTTAAGCTTTGGGTAAGTGGGTCCATTGGCTAAACCTATAACATGGAGCCGGATATAGATCAATTATGGGGCGAAAATGATGTTTGAAAGGATTGTCATTCAGTTGGAGAGCGATCTGTAAAAAAGAAAAAAAAAAACTACCTAAGACATAAATTTCCAACTTCTTCCATGAGACTTTTTTTGCGTAGAGGAATGTAACCCCTGTACATTCAATGATGCCACCCTGATTGGATAATAAAAAACACATACTGCCGACAGGGATGCCTAGTGACTCATGTTGATTGGGACGGCTTGTGGACAAATCTCAAGCCTTGACCGCAGCGGGCTCAAGTCTTCGGAACCCACCCTCAGCAGCAACCAGGCGCTGCAAGTCTGCCATCCGACACTGGTCGCCCGTTGGATCGTCGGATTCGGGCTCAAGTGTCCAGCTCAAGAACTTGTTCGTGTAGTTTGGTTCGAAGCTAGCGTCCAGAATGTCGAGCCGTTTGCCGTAGTTGGTCACTTTAATCCAGTCTCGCTGGACGTTTTTCAAATCTTTACTGAAGTAGGCGTAGGAACGTTCGAAGATCTTACGATTGACTGGAGTGCCCATAACGGGTTTGACGTCAACGTACTCTTCATAAGCTTCTGAGGGTTTCGCGAGAACATAGTCTGTGGCTCTTTTGACTGCCTTGAGGAATTTGGAGACCTTCTCCGGGCTCTGGGAAATAAATGTCTCGTTTCCGATGTACAAGATGGAGCAGAAGCAGCAGCATCCGAGCTCTGCGAGTTGGTCGATGCGAAGCATTTGGACATCGGAACGAGGGCGATTCTGCTCCGCAAGCCACTCCTCCAACTCGACCATCTGCACATTCTCGAGGCCGATGCCCGCGTCGATCTCGCCGCGAATGATGGCCTTGGTAATGTTCATTCCGCAGCGGACGGCAGTGTAGTCGGATGCAGACATGTTATAGTACTTAGTAAGTTCATCGATTTGAATCTAGCGAAATTTGGTGAGTGGCTTATTCCTTGAGAAGTATCATTGCTAAGCTAGGAAGCTCAGACCTTTCCGAATTCACCAACATATCCAATCCGCTTCCCTTTCAGGGAGTGGAAGTCAGTGGTAACACCACTATCCTTCAAGTAGACAATACCGGTAAAGGGTTCATCCAACAGCGATCCGACGGAAACAACTGGGAAGTTGCGGGCTTTCGCCTAGACGGATCCGTAAGCATCAATGCATTTCTATCATTGACATACACATATAATATAAAGTAAAATACTCTCCACTAACAGCGAGAGTGTGGATCATGGCTTTGAAGCCCATGTCGACCTTTCCACTCCCAATGATCTCAGTGACATCAGAGGGGTCATTAGGCTCAAGAAGGTACCGGTTTAATGCCCTCATCCTTGAAATATGCCTTGGATTGGAAT